ATAGTTGTATAGGTTGCAGATCGGATGGTGTACCAGTCACTAGGACTGATTGTTTCCATTAATTTTGGTTTTCTTCTTTCTTCTTTGCTCTTGACGAGGAAAGACCCATCGTTGCATCTAGATGGCAGCATGGATGATGTTCTTGATGTCATCCCACAATTCTTCTGGTGTTCGGTCACTGGTGTTCAATGCATCAAATCTAATCTTTAGATGGTCTCTAAATTCAGGAGGGATATATTCAAGATCACATTTTTGCTCTTGTGCATTTGTTTTAACTGTCTTTAACTTCAACTTGAACTTGCATATGAGCAGTTGATAGTCTGTTCCACAGTCAGCTCCTGGCCTGGTTTTGGCTGAAGATATTGAGCTTTTCCATAGCCTCTTGCTACAGATGTAGTCAATATGATTCCTGTGTATTCCATCTGGTGAAGTCCATGTGTATAGCTGCCATTTGTGTTGTTGAAAAAAGGTATCTGCAATGAGTAAGTCGTTGGTCTTGGAAAATTCTATCATGCAACTTCTGGTATCATTTCTGTCACCAAGGCCAAATTTCCCAACTACCAGTGATTCTTTGTTTCCAACTTTTGTATTCCAGTCACCAGTGATAATTAACACATCCTGACTGCATGTTCAGTCAATTTCAGACTGCAGAAGCTGATAAAAGTCTTCAATTTCCTCATCTTTGGCTTTGGTAGTTGGTGCATAAATTTGAATAATGGTCATATTAACTGGTCTTCCCTGTAGGTGTATGGATATTGTCCTATCACTGACAGAATTGTACATCATGACAGATCTTGAAACATCCTTGTGATGATGAATGCCACACCATTCCTCTTCAAATTGTCATTTCTGGGATAGTAGGCCACATGGTGGTCTGATTCAAAATGGCCAAAACCAGCCCATTTTAGTTCACTAATGCCTAGGATATCAATCTTTATGCATTCCATGTCATTTTTCACAACTTCCAATTTTCCTAGATTCATGCTTCGTACATTTCATGTTCCAACTATTAATGGATGTTTGCAGCTGTTTCTCTTCAATTTGAGTCATGCCACGTCAGCAAATGGAGGTCTCAAAGCTTTACCTTATCCATATCATTA